AAATAAAAATAATAATAATAATAAAGGGAGAAATGTGGGATCCACATACAAATCAAGTATAAAAATCAAACGAATATTCATATTTGACCTGATTGTTTATAGTTCATAATGTATGATCAGAACCGAAAGTTTCTGTGATGAATGCCCTTGTACTGTTCACCATGTAAGAACTTGTTCGTTATGCTTCAGAAGATTGGAGACTGATGAGAACTAGGCTTGAGATGGATTAATGATTGTGCATTGTGCATTGACCCCCCTATACAGAATTTTATTGTTGTTAACAACCATTTGATCAATAAATATGAGAGATGCCCTCTCAAAAAAAAAAAATGAACCACTAGATGGTATAATTATCATACAGCTATTTAACCTCAAAGAATATATTAGTAAGAATAGTTTCTCAGTGTGGCATGGATTTATTTTTGGTGAAAGTTTTTCACATTATATGTGCAATTTATGCTCTAAATGAATAGTAGAATAAAAGTTCAAAGTCAGATGGGAACTCGGAAGTGAGAAAACTGGATCCTAAGTAATATTTTCATCAATTTGAATGAACAACAGTACTGCTGTTACCATGTTGGTATTTTTCATCTTAGCAAAAGATAAAATTAAAAAGCATGCTGCATTACATTGGATTTTTTTCTTCTTTTTATGCTGACCTCATTTTTAAAAGCTAGTACAATTTTCTTTACTGTCAATTTGTATAACTATGTAAAACTCTCTCATCTGGCCCACTTTACTAAGGTCTAATTTAATTAAAAGGTAATCTGTAAGTGGCTGGGGCAGCAGGCACATAATAAAAGAGTGACAATGACTGTGACTTGTCTATTCAGCAAGCATGGGCTAAAAGGCAATGTTTCGGCCAGTACTCGAAGTGGATCAAGACATGAGTGCACAGCCTGTGAAGCTGCGGCATGAGCAGAGGAGACAGACAACGCACCACCTTCAGGGGACAGTGTGGGGCATGTCACAGAAGCCTTAAGGGGCCATGGAAGCACCAAAGCATAAGTGACTAATTCTGCCCCGGGCCAGAGGTGACTTCATAGAGGAAATGCCACTGAACGGGGCCTTGTCACAGGAGCAGGACACTGTTGGGCGGAGAAGAAAGGAAAAGGCAACCATGTGGATGACACGGTGCAGGGGAGTCCAAAATGACCAGACCCTGGCTTGGATGAAGTGGTAAAGATGAGAGCACAAATATAAATGAGTTTAAAATGCACCCCATTCTAAATGGTTTGGTCTTCCGCCTGCCAGATGATGATCCTCCCACCGTCCCTAGAAAGAAGGCCCTCTCCCTCAGTACTTGAACACAGCAAGTGTTTTTGTGAAACACCTCCCAAAGCGCTGGGCACTGACAAAGGTTTTAAAATAGGAACCTGGAAATCAGGAATGGGCTTCAACCACATTACACAAAGTTCTACCAAGGTTCCTCTTCTAAAGGGAAAAGAGGGACCCCAGAACATCATGAAGATTCTTGTGAAGTTCTCAACCACTCACACTTGTTACTATACATGATCTAGGGCCTTATGAAATGCTGTCCTTTTGATTTATCTTCCTTCTGGTCTACTCATCCCTAACTGCCACCAGAATAACTATCTAGAACATAACACTTTTACCAAAACCTTCTATCATTTAGGAATCTCCTGGCCTCTCAGGCCTTTGCATGGGCTCTAACAGTTGGCCCTATCCTTCTTCCATAATTCAGACAACTGAATGCCCTCTCACAAATAAGCATGTCTTCTGCCATGCTAGATTTTTCCTGTCTAGAATGATAGGCATTTTTCTTTAAGCCAGACCATGAACTAACTCCCTGCCTGAGCTAGTCCAGTCATACCTAGGTAATAAAACTTCCTCCTAACTAACTGAACAATAAATGCCCCTTTCTAAACTCATCCACTTTAGCACCTTAAACAGTGCCCCACTTTGTCTCTTTGTCTCAGATGTAATCCTTTTCTCTCTAGCTAGAGTCCTTAAAGATGGTATGTCTGTATGCTACACTCCACAGCAGTAATTACTTTTAAAATGACCACTCTTCCGACTGAAGGTGAAATGCTCCAAGGGTGGTCATATGCTTCCAGACAATACCATGGAGTTGGGAGGCTGAGGCGTGTGCAGGAGCAGAAACACCGGAGGTGGAGGACAGAGACTGATATCCAATGCCATCTATGCCTCTATGCTACAAACAGCAGCCACAACTACAACCTCCACAACCCTTTGATGTTGAGCTATTTGTATTCTAGGGATAAATAAGGAATTTCCACTAATTTCCAAATGTACTCTATTTGGCAGAGGAGACAATAGAACCATTAAAGAGAAGGTAAAAGAAAAGGAACTAAGTGGTAAAACTAGCAGTGGGCAATCACTTCCTAAAATGTACATTTCTGTTTACATGTTTCCCCCTCTGGGGCAAAACCCAGCGTCCTACAAAAACCAGAACACCCCATTTTTAATGGCCCCTGAAAGCTCTTATAAGAGCTTATAAGAAGGGGGAACTGAGAGTGAATGACACTGTAAACCAGTCTGTTAAAGCTATAAATGTGATTCTGTGCTGTGAAGATGGCACCCAAACTGGCCCAAAGTGGGAAAGAGCAGCTATGGGGGCTCACCCATGGCCACTGGTATGTCTGTCCAGTTCAGGGCACACTTCTGTGTGCAGATCCCCTCCTCGTTGAGTACCACCGTGAGATCATCCTGACCCACGGCCACTTTTCCATCTGCCAGAGGTGCAACTAAGGGCTCCAGCTGTTTTCCTGTTGGAAAGAGCTCTTTGATGGACCCCTTTCCATCCACCTACAGGAAGACACAAAGCGAGTCATCCAGCATCTCTGGCCAGAGACATAAACACAACCTGGGAAAAACAGATAAAACCCAAAAATCTACAGAGGCTAATAATATTCCTTAGTTTGCAAAAGTAAATATTACAGTTTGTTATGACAAGTTTTGTCATCACAATTTAGAACCAGTTCTCTTTTTCTCTAACATGGCAACAAGCATCTAGCCTGGCAACTAACAATGTCAAGTGATGGCGAGGATGCAGAGCAACTGGACCTCTCATACACTGCTGGTAAGAATGCAAAGTGGTACAGCCATTTTATTTGCTGGCTTCTTATAAAGGTAAATAATCACTTACCATATGACCCAGCAATCCCATTCCTAGGCATTTGCTCAAGAGAAATGAAAACTTATGTTTACACAAACACCTGTAAGCAAATGTTGACAGCAGCTTTATTCATAATGGATAAAAATTGGAAAAAACTTTGTCCTTCAACTGATGAATGGATAAACAAGCTATAATATATCCATACCATGGACAATTGCTCAGCCATAGAAAAGAATATAATGACAAACACAATAATACAGATGGATGTCAAATGCATTATGCTAAGGGAAAGAAACCATACTCAAAAGCCTACGTGCTGTATGACTCCATTTATGTGATATTCTGAAAAAGGCAAAACTATAAGAGATGAAGAACAGATCAGCGATTACAGGAGATTGGGTGTAGGATGAGGGGCTGACTTGAAAGGGACAGAATTAGGAGATTTTTTGGAGTGACGGAACAGTTCTGAATCTTGATTATGGTGGTAGGTACACAATCTAGGTATCTGTCAAAATTCAGAACTGTACATCAAAATACACAAATCTTATTCTCTGTAAATAAGTGAGTAATTTTTAAATAGCCTGGTCCTAAAGCAAGATTTTCCACCCTCAAAAGACTCTGCCCTCAAGAAGGTGATGGTGGCATCCAAGGTCGTCTGAGGAATGAAAGCCCACTCCAACTCCGGGCTCAGCCCCAGCCCTGGCAGGCTTTCTGCAGCACCTGTATGCCTTGCTGCTATTCAGGCAGCTGCATAGCAGACTTCTTTAGGAGAGCCTGCAACTCTGCTGATGATAAAATTAGGCTATTCAAACAATGTAAATAAGGAACCAACATATCAACTAGATAAACTAAGTGTGGAATAGGGAAATGTGGGGTAGGGAGGTGAGGAGAATAGCTCTTAGAACTGCCCAGTCTAGAATATGAGAAGGGTAGGAAGCTAAGAAATATAGATTATTCTATGAAATGAATGGTCTGTCAACCTTTTCTATATATAGTGTGCATACTGGAGAAAACAAATGTCATGGATATTTGCCAATTAGTTTAAGAGAAAAATGAGGTTATCAAACAATGTGCATAACATATTTTTGTAAATATGTGGAAGCTTACATACAAATGGTTAACAATAATTATTTCTGAGTGGGTGGATTATGATTTGGATTTATTTTTCTGATCTTTACTTTCTTGTTTTCTAATAAATACATTTGGCCTGTGGGAAAAAAAAATAGAACAGTAAAAAGAATATTAAAAATAAATATCTTAAATGATTTTGGAGGGTAGGAAACTTGAAGTCTTAAGAATACTTCAGTTAATACTAAAATTAGTTTATAATTCCTGAGCCCTGCAGCCTCAAGACAACAGTCCATGGTAATGCTGGTGGACAGAGGCAGGCACCCTAATTATCAGTCCCAATAATTAGATATAGGATGTGGATAACTTTTTATGTAGAAAACTGCATCCACCTGACTAAAGATACAAAGAGATCTTATGTATGCAAGATGCTGACAACATGAAAAATATACAAACACAAACACAAACATACAAACACAAACCCTATTATGCCAAAAACAATACTGTGGGCAGTCTCCTGACCTGTAGTTCAAAAGCACTTCATCATCTCCACCAAGCAAACACATCATCACCTTTCCCAATGTAAACTGACAACATTTGCAAAATAGTAAGTTTTACCCTTATTAGGTAGTAGTCTCTCTTGAAACCCACACAGATAGAATTTTCACACCAGGCCATGGACTTGGGCACATCTGGTACACTAAAGTCCCCCTGAAGAAAGAGAACAAGAGTGCAATCACAAAGATAGTAAAAGGAAAAAAATCATGACCTTCCTGTTATTCCACCCCCTTCCTGCAAAATCACCCTCACCCTCATTCAAATACAGTTCTGTCAGCACATGGCCAGGAAACCACCCGTAATAAAAATACATCACCCATGAACTAGACAAGCTGCATTTGGAAAAGGAAAACCCACTTTGTATAGACGTTGTAAGCTTGTATTACCCCTGCCTCTGAAGATGAGGAGACTTTACAAGTGGGGATGTACTCATGGCAGAGCATTCAGCTGGAGAGAGCCCCAAGACTGGCATCCTGACTTTCACTAGACCCAAACAGAAGTCTTTCAAGCTATGGGTTAACTACAAGCCGCACCTCTCACCCCACCCACGGCCAGGAATAGGGGACATTACCTGCAATTCATGAAATTCCCTGTCCTTCCAGAAATACAGCTGCAGCTTCTTTTTCACAGCCACACACATGCGCAACACCTCCTCACCGGTCTCTGTGTGCTGGGAAGAGATACCCAGAGCAAAAAGGGTGTGTACACCGTGACCCCATAACTGAGTGACACTAACTTAGAGATTTTCTACCTTGGAATGGCTACTAATCTGAAAATTCTCTGGACAAGCTGAGCCAAAGAGCACCATTCTCTAAGATGTACTCACAAACAACAGGCTGAGGGGCATTTCTTCCCAAACGATAGGTCTGCCAAAGGCCTCAGCCCCAGCCAGCAAATTTCATGGACATTCATAATTCTGAGAGTAAAATCCTGGGGTGGGCCTTCAGCTACATAACTGCTTCTCTTTTTTCTTAAATGTTTCTCACTCATGGCTGTCAATACAAGCTGGGTCAGGGATTGGCACATGTCAATGCCACTTTCAATCCTTTAAAGGAGTTGGGGAAAAGAAAATGTCTAAGTGTAAAGCAATGCAGTGTCAATGGAGACCATAAATATGAAAAAGTATAAAGCTGAGTAGCAGGGTAAGGCAGATTTTGAAGAACTTAAGGATGACAAATTGGCAAAAACGAGGAGACATGTCTTTCCTGAATAATGAGAATATCCTAAAGATGAAGACCACATGCCATGTTTAGAACAAAAGTCAATTTAATGTCCTATACTTCTGTTCATGATACCATACAGTCTGGATTTCCCACTAACGGTTTGTCCACAAAAAATGTTTTTATCCTTGGTTAGCTGCCCCCTGCTAAACAGATGTCTGGTGCTCTAATTAACACACATTCACAAAGAATGTGAACTTTTCACCTCAGACCACATACAAAAATGGAAATTTCTCTAATACAATCCCCAATCAAATCTCCTCTTTGGAGTCTCTGCTGGGCTTGGATTACCAATGTTAGTCTTCCCATCTATTGGTAGCAATAATGTAGAAAAAGTGGCACAAAGTCAAAATTTCATCTTGCCTACCCTTACCTGGAGGTCACATGTGAACAGCGAAGCTCCCTTTGCCTTTGAGACTGTAGTGATTTGTTGAAATGTCAATAGGTCGTGGACATAAATGTTATTTTCTGTTTGGAAGGAGGTAAAAAACATCACTGTAAGTTGTCATACTTCTCTAGTACAGCCACCTTCAAAACAAAAAAATAAATGAATAACTGTAACAACCGGAAGAATCAAACAGCAAATGTTGGTCGAAGATGTACCCTTCAGTCCCACCAACAGTCACTTGTTCTGGTCTATACCGGAATTACCTTACAAAACATTTAAGAGATCACTGTCTTCTGAACTTGGATACTCCTTTAAATTTATGGGCTGGCTTGAGTAGAAGAGCTCTTTCACTTCCAAAGTACCCTTAAGCTCTCTCTTTCTCAAGTCTGGAAATTTGTGATGTAATATTTGTACAAGAAATAGCTTACAAAACAACTTACATTAAGGGGTACCAATAAGAGAGAGGAAATTCCCTGTGGATTTTGTACAAACCCACGGCAAGGATTTCTGTTGTAGCAAAGACAGCAGAATATTTTCACTTCGGTCTCCTATCTAGTTTTGTGAGGATTTAGTTATTTTAATGCTCCTCTCTTGACTTCGAAACTAAATTTTAAAAGATTCTACCATTTGGGCCCCAGACTGAACAGGCAAGTTTCCAGTCTCTGCTTCTCAGGAAAAGGCCTCACTGGCTGCCTTCCATGACACCATGGCTTTCAACCCAGGCTCTGAATAGTATAGCCCTGATCTGACTCCAGCCACTCCCCACCACATATCCTTACCTGGCCAGATCTCAGGGCCTCTGCTTAAGTGTTCCCTCTGCCTACTTCTCTCCCGCTGTTGAAATCTTATTCATCCACCAAATAATACTATCCCTCCAATTACTAAGATCCCACAAAGCTTTTTATAAATTAACACTGTAATGTATCATACGATGTCATGGTTACTCTCCATCGTTTCAGTCTTCACAATCAGAACGTAAGTTTCAAAGACAGAAACCATGTGTCATTCAAGATGGAATTCCCAATGCCTAGAGCAGGGCTCAATGAATGTTTGCTTGATTATTAAATGCATAAAGTAAGTGACATTCCTTGGGAGAACAGAGCTCCAGTTTATGGGGGATGCTGTTGCTTTTATTACCTGTGTACCCTGCCGTGTCTGGTTTGGAACATGTCAGTTTCACTGTTAAGTAACAACTATCAAATTAACCCAGAAAGGTTAACTAGGTCAAAGCTTTTACTTTATCACACATGAAATAAATACAATGCAATCCCTTTTCTTACCTAACAAACTGACCAGAATCTTAAACTGGGAAACCACATGGATCTGGAAAAGAGTGTATCATTAGACTCAAACATTTCTGACAAGGCTTAGCAAATATTCACTTAATTACAGGACAAAAAAAGGACTAAAAAGTCTATAGCAATGACAGGGATCTGACATATTTATGTGCTATCATCATTTCTGCTCATTGAAGAGGATTTCAGGCACATGATAGATGGTCAGGCATCATAAACAGGAGCACAGAGAGCAGAAGATTCAGAGAGTTAATAAACAACATTACCAAAACCTTAGCTTTGACAGGGCTTCAAAGAAGTCAGATATTCTTTTATCGACCACCATCACTGCCTACCTGTTGAATCTTTTTGGAGAAGTTCTTATTGGACTTCTCTAGTGTCACTTCAAACCTGTTGCAACCTATGGAAAAGAAACAAACACAGGGATACATATAAACATAACTACAACAAAAAATGCAGCTCCATGCTACTCTCCTATATGAATCTTAAAAGATTCCTAAAAGACTAGAAGTTGGAGACCTAAAATAACCAGCTGTCTTTACCGAGGACTCTAAGTTGCTTTCAACTCCAATTGTAAAACAGAGGGTTTCATGCACCTTCACTCAACATTAGCAGAAAGGTTCATACCACAGAAGTTTATTGAAGCTGCAAGGTACCTGTGAATCTGAAGATCTTATTCTACAAAATAGTACCTTGGCAAAGTATTTCACAAACAGCAATGTAAAAAGTAACAGAGCCCAATATAAGGGCCCAAGCAATGAAGCCCAACCAAAGCATCCTTAGATCTGGGCCAACAAAATCCCATCAGCTACCCCATGTCCTGCAACAGGGGACAGAGCAAATACTCAACACTATCCCCAGAGCTAAGCAATTTAACACATCTACACTCACTGCCACTCTCAGGTGATGCTACATCTGCTGGTACTGTTGCAAAAAAAGGGAAAGAAAGTCATACACCATAAATAAAAACATGTAAAGCCAGCCTTGGAGGATGACAAAAATATTCAGCCAGCCTCAGAAGTCACCAAAAGGTCAAAAAGAGAATACTTATCATTATAACAGCAGCTATCATTAACAAAGCAATAAACAGATGCCAGGCTCTGGGTTAAAAAATTTATGTATATTTTCTGCCACCTCAGAACTACCTCAAGAAATAGGTGTTATTATTCCAATCTCACATGAGGGGCCAGATGGGTCAAGCAGTTACAGAGCAGCCAGAGAGACTGCCCAGAAGCACACTTGGGGCTCACTACAAAGTCTGTATGCTGAGCCCTTCTCCTGCTACCTGCCTCCAGCCTGTGGAGAGACAGTTTGTACTGCTGACCTCAGGCTGCTCCCCATGGTGAGCAGTGCCCCTGCCCCCAGAAGTCGGTAGAGATTCTCTGGGCAGCCATATGGGCCCGTGCCACCAAAGCAGGTCCTGCTTCCTCCACAGGTCCCTCAGCAAAGGAGAGGAAGATGAGGCCTGAAGTTGCTGGAGATTCAGAAATGAGTCCTGTGTAATGTCTATTTCACATGAAAAAAAATGTCAATTGGGCCACTTCCTGCTTGATAAAGACTTCTGTATTTGAAAGGGCTTTATTACTTCCAACAATTCTCTTTATAAGTAGAATTATCTAGGGCAGAGATTCTCAAATTTTTTGGTCTTAGGACTCATTCATAATCTTAAAAATTATAGAGGACCCAAAAGTTTAATGTGGGTTTTAGCTATCAATGTCTAACATGTTAAAAATTTTAAAAACATGTATTTATTAACGTACTTTAAAATAATGGTAATAAACCTATTACATATTAGCACAGATATATTTTAATAACTTTTCTACATAATATATTTTACTTTTTCTAAATAAAAAAATGCACTGTTTTACATTTTTTCAAATTTCTTTACTGTCTGCATTAATAAAAGAATTGACTCTCACATCTGCTTCTGCATTTAATGTTTTGATGCAACTTTAGCTGAAGTCCTCAAATGACGTATAATTGGAAAAGGGGCTTGAAATTTTTTCAGATAGTTGTGGAACTTCTTTGATACTATAGCAAAACTTGACAAATGGAGCTTCTTGCAATGTGGAATGTGAAACCTATTAATGAATGTTTCTGTTAAAGTTCACTGGTGTATTTTATACTTTGAATGGATCTTTGCTTCAAGCATGATATAGAAACTTCATGCACTGGAAAACATCAGTTCACTGAGTTATGCAGATTTTCCAAACGTTAGCACATTTTGTTACAGGACAACAAAAAAAAAAAATCACACTCATTATCACCCCCAATCTCATCAGAAAAAAAACTTTAAGTGTTGAGAAGCCGTCAAGCTCACAGATACAATTTTTCCAGCTCGAATTTTCTCTTGAGAGCTCTGATCTCACTGTTACTACAATGCTGCCTGTTGTTTTCTTTGAAGTTACAGACTCCCTTCATCCTTTCTTGAGAAAACATTTACCATACACACCCAAACGGTCTGAAAAACCAAAGTGTGAAAAAAATCTATGTCATTCTTCCAAGCAAAAAAGATACTCCATGAAAAAAGTGGCCACTTCAGCTCATAACTCAGTCACACATGTGCTTTCCCCCAAGACAGCCAGCGTGCTATGTATCTCGGTGCACAGCACGAGTGCTTTGTGTCTACTTCCCTTTACATCACAAATTTAAAAAGATGTGTCCTTAAGGTCAAGATACAATAAGATTAATGGTTTTTACTGCCTCACAAAGAACATTTTTAAGGGCAACTGGCTTTAAAAAAACCAAAACCAAAACCACTGTGAGTGCATGGAGAACAACATGTTGACTACTGGAAAGGTTTGGTACCAACAAGTTTTCTGACCAGTCTTGAACGTGTGCTAAGGGGCCAGCAGTTTTAGCTACTATCACTTTTGTACCATCAGTGCAAATGTCAATAAATGCCAGTGACAAAAAATTAAGTTTTCTGTGAGTGGATGAATCTTGGGGACCCCTAGAGTCTACAGACCACACTTTGAGAAAGACTGCTCTATAAAGATGGAGCCACTGAAGTAAAGGTCTTAGATGTGAACAGTCTAACTCCTCTGATTGGAAGTAGAATGAGGCCTTGAGACATTTTTGAGCTCGAAGGAGATGGCATGGATCAGATCAGAACTTAGGTCCCATTAGTCCTAGTCTTTCTGTGACATCTTATTATTTCTCCCATTCTTCAAAAACACAGCCTAGCTACAGCCCTTTCTAGGGTTTAAAATACCTCAAATTTAGAAACCAAGTTAGTTCTATGGCTGATTCACAAAGGCCCAGGTCTATTTCTGGGCTACAAACAGGCCAGAGCTGGGCCAGAATTATACTGTTCTCTGAGGGCATATAGGGAGAAGTAAGATGTCTAACCAGAGTTTGCTTTCCTAATTATCTAAGGTGGGCAGTACTGTTATTCAAGTTACCTATGGGGAAAGTAAGGCCCAGAAGATTAACAAGTTGTCAGAAGTCACACAGTGACTTGCCCACAGGGCAAGAAATTAATACTAAGTTAATTATCAAGTCAGATTAACACTAATATTGCCAGTTTGAGTCTATACTATGCAGAGATTTATTGCTATAGTCTAGTTTTCAATTCCCTACCACTTATATAATGATATATCAAACAAGTTAGTTTATCATAGTATTCAGTATTTGATGGTACGAAGAACTGATTATCTACTGAGGTAAAAAATTTTAAGCTCTCTTATCTCCCTGTCCTGTATACTATCCAAGCTCACAATATACAGTCAAAACACAGTTGTTGAATGCTTAATAAAATCTAAGGCAAGCTTAATCTTTAAATTACAATCCAGCAGATGTCACAGAATGGAAATACTCTGGCACTGAGAATTAAAAATTTTAGGCAACGGCCAGCAAAGTACTGTAGATAGGTCAAATCCAGTCCTCCACATGTTTTTGTAAATAAAGTTTTATTGGAACACAGCCATGACCACTCATCTGCATATAGCCTATGGTTATTTTTTGCTGCTAGAGCAGTGTCAAGCAGTCACAACAGAGACTGTATAGCTTACAGGACCTACGATATTTACTATTTTGGTCCTTTTTGGAACAAGTTTGCTGACTCTCTATTTAAAGGCAAGTTGAAAAATTAAGAAATGAAATAAACCCTCTGTTCTGATCTCTGGTTTCTCTTCTGACCAGCAGCCTTCCTATTTCCCTATTTTACCAGTGAAGAATAGCAGAATATGCTACCCCAAAATTTGCCACTTTGGTGTAAAGACTGTTTTGAGCTGAAGACAACTGAGAAGAAGGAAAGCTAGTTCTCTGCCCTCCTGCTGTTTACCTAAAAGCAGGACATAAATTTACAAAGATGTCGGCCTTCTCCACTCTACCAGAGACAGAATTTAATCACCTGAGACAACTCTCGAGCCACATCAGCCCAGAAGTGGCACCAAACCATCTATGTAACAAACTATTAACTAGCTGTTATCTTCCATTAGTTCCACCATACGGATGCCTTCCCATAATTTGCCATCCTAGAAATTCAAAGTGCTTTTCTTTTGTCTTGTCACTTCTCTAAATATGTATTGGTTACTCTGTAAGATGCTATATAAGGCCAAGTTCTAACCACCCCTTGAGTCCAGTATCTCTGCATACTCCTGGGTGACTGCATGAAGCACATGTGCATAAACTTTTGTTTGTTTCTTCATTAGTCGAATTTACATGTTCCCACCCAATGAGCCAATGGATGGGTAGAAAGAAAAAGAATTTTTTCCTCCCTTACAACAGTAAGATGTCCTTTTTTCTCAATGTTATCCTTGCTCCAGATTCCAAAGAGAACGCTCTATTTCTACTCTTACCTTAAGCTATTTACTATGGAGAGTTATTTATTAGGTTGAAAGCTACAACATTTTGTTTTTTCTAATGTGGCAGAATAATGACAATTTCATGTGGTTCGACATACTCTGGCATTAACAGATTTCTACAGACTCTGTAGCTCCAGGTTATAATATCTAAGCATATCAATTTACCATGAGAGGACAGAAGTAAAATCAGGAAAAGGGAGTGAGGTATTTTTTTCCCCCAGCAGAGGATACTCTAACACACTAAATTTCAAATACTTTCAGTTATTATCCTACATTTTTACTGACAAAGCCACATTTGATTAGAGTTTTAGTTTTCAAAGCTCTCGCATCTGACCTCAACAATTTTGTGAGACAGATAGTTTATGGGAGAGGAAAACAATGTTGCAAAGGATCTACTCATAGTCATTTGGTCAAAGGGTAAGCTAGGCTCAAACCCAGATCCTCCTGCTCCTTGTCTAACCCTTGTAAGTTAATGAGGTCTTTTAAATCAATGGTTCCTAATTTTGTTTCCTACTACCACACCATTTACACAAGAATCTTATTTCCATCAGTAATACTTTTTATTGCTGGTAGTGAGTCTCTATGAAGAGAGGAGGGGAGGAACATTCAACCCCACCTACCAGATGGGAGCTGGAGAAAACAGTCTGAAAAAATAAAAAATCCTGAAGATTTTCACGTTTCTCCCCACTTTCCCACTGCACTACTCCCAAACCCCAATCACTCTTTCGGTGGTCCAGGTTGTATACATTAACGGTCCACAGTTGTATACTAGCCAACCAGCAATCCTTTTTTTTTGGATGAGTAAATAAGGCGCTTCTTCATCAGTTCTGGAGAGTGGCCACTTACCAATGTCCCTTCGAATCCTGTAGAGAAGAAGATGTCCTTGTTTGGTTCCAACAAGAAGCCATTCCTCTGGAAAAGAAAAGAGCTATGAGAAAGTCGATCAGCTTAAGTAACATCCCATTTGTTTAGCTGGGGCTTGTAATCAGAAATCAAAGGGTCAAGAAAAATGAGTTGCTTTTAGCAGGTATTTTGCAAAGATAGGGAACATTTATATTCAAGAAATCTTTGAGAATCAACTAATCAAGAAGTATTTATTGAACAATTACCAGGCTAGACATGTTAGAGAACAGTGTCCCTGGCTTCACTGTTTCAAAATTAAACTGACCAGCAACATGGTGAAAGTTTATAAAATCAAAATGGACAATATAAAATGAAACTAGGTATCTAATCTCAGAAATAACAGCTAAAAGGCATTCTCTGAAGGATTAATGATATTACTTTAGGAAAAATAAGAAGTGCCATTGTATATTCAGCTTGTAAAATTCTTTCCATCAAAAGTTGGTCTTGCAGATAATAACAAGTGTTACAAAGATGTAAAGAAGTTGGAATCCTCATACACTGTTGGCAGGAATATAAAATGATGTAGTCACTTTGAGGAATAGTCTGGCAGTTTGTCTAAAGATTAAGCAGAGTTACTATATGACCTAGCAATTCTACCCCTGTTCACATGCACAAGAGAAATGGAGACATATGTCCACAAATGTTCCTAGTAGCATCATCTTTAATAGCCAAAAGGCAGAAACAGTCCAAATGTCCATCAGCTGATAAATGGATAAACAAAATGTACTATATCCATATAATGGAGTATTACTCAGCCATTAAAAGGAATGAAGTGTGGACACATGCTACAACAGGGATAAACCTAACAACATTATGCTAAATTAAAGAACCCAGACAGAAAAGGCTACATGTTGTATGCTTCTATATTTATAAGAAATGTCCAGAATGTAGAAATCTAGAGACAGAAAGATTAATGGCTGCTTAGGGCTGGTGGGCTTAAGAAGTGAATACTAATAGATATGGAGTGTTTTTTAGAGAGATGAAATGCCCTAAAATTGACTGTGTCAATACTTACACAACACTGAATGTGTAAAAACCACTGAATCATATACTTTAAATGGGTGAATTGTAGGTATGTGAATTACATCTCAATAAAGCTCTTACTAAATAAAAAAAAAAAAAAGGACAGCACCTCATAAACTTTGGTGTGTATCAGAATTATTTTTGAGTCCATTAAATTTCTGGCTCCTGTCCTCAGTCTCTGAAGTGGGCCTGGGAACTTCCATTTCTAAAAAATTCACAGGTGATACTGATAATGTTGGTTCAGGGACCACATTTTTAGAAGACACTGGTCTATGCTAAAAGTAAAGAGGTTCTGAAAGGATTTAAATCATTACCCTGATGGATCTGTATCAATTCATTAAGGGAGTTAAACATGTATAGATATTTCCTTAGTCTTTTAATGTAACATAAGGCCACTCAATCCTTTCATAAATCCTCCTGATCCTTTCTAAAAATAAAACAGATAATGGTACAAAAAGATAAACAATTAGATAATGTACAAAAAGATAAATGATTGAGCATGCATTGTGTTCCAGGGTACAGTACGCACACGTAATGTTACTTCACTAATCCTCACAGCTATCCTTTGAACTATGTCCTTTTTATAAATCCCCATTTTATAGATGAGGAAGTTAAAGCCCAGGGGCATTCAGAGTCTCTCATGTGGTAAGATGTGTGCAGAGGAGTCAGGACTTAACCACACACTGTGATACACTTACTAAGGCGTCTCGTGTCAAAAGGATGGGTGCTGGCCAGAAGCTGTCTGAAAGCCTGTAGTCATATTTATAAAAAAGTCAGGGGACACACTGGACTGTTTCTTCAGGTTGACATCCTTAATCTTCCTGAAAAGAATAGTGATCCTGTCTTCCTTTATTTTGTGTCTTAAAGCAAAGGCAGGGCACAGAAAATAAGACACTGTGTGCTCTTACTGACATAAATGGAATCAGAAATAACACTGGTCTAATGGAATGCTAGAGATTTATGTTGTAGCAGAACATGGAAAAATAATTCAGTTCACAAAGCTTGCTTCGTAAAAGACATTATGTTTAGAACTCTACTTACACACATTACTGCATTGAGTAATTGTTAATATTAAAGCTGATTTATAGGACACCCACTGATATTTCAGATACAAATAATATGATTTTTTAAAAAATCATTTACACATAAACATTTAACATGAAAAGACCAACAAAATGGTCATCAACCTCCCAATCCTTCCCTCTCCACTCTGTCCCCTAAACCCAGCCAGTTCCTATTTTTCTTTAGCTCTTTTAACAGCCTCATCTTCTACCCATGTTTGCAAGACCTATCAGTTTTACCTCTATGACGTACCTAGCCACAGCCCTCTCCCACAGAGTCTCTCCAGGGACCCGGTGATGGCCTCAGCTGGGCTCACTCTGTGCGCCCTTTCACCTTAAAGGAGATCTCCAATTCTGTCACACTGGGGCTTAAACCCTCATGGAGCTGGCACTACCAAAATATGAAGTCAAATTCGTAAGTATGACATTCAAGAGTCTAATTTCCATTTTTGTTGGAAATGTTCATTTGTAAAGAGATGTTTCTTATCAAATGTATGCTCTACTGGCCATAAATGGTTTCAGACAGACTCACTGAAATTTTTTAGAGTTTTTTTTAACTGAAATTTTACTTATCCCTTTTCAAGCTTTTCTTTGGAGGTGCTGAGGAAAAATGCATTTACCCTATGTGCCAAGCATTCTAACAACTTTCTTTTTAATAGTAAAAATACCACACATACTCATTCCTAATTCTCAAACTTGTAAGGAAAAACAGCACATCATCCAGATGTAATAATGGTGCGGAACCTTGAAGAGGCATGGTGGGTTACAGAAGTCAGTGGAGGTTCAGAGGGCCAGAGGACCTGACCCATGTCAGGCCTCCCCATTCTATGACACGCATCATACAACACAGCCATGAGTGCCAAGCACAGAACATGAGAGGCCCACAGAGCAGGCACAGCACAGGGTAGACAATCCCTTCCGAGACCTGGGTATCTGCAAATCTGCAAGTGGGACACACTATACCAATGGTGGTTTGTGGGTTACACACATATAAGCAAATAAGAGACAGCCCTGGAAAATTCCTGATGGCCTAATCCTGAGCCACAAGGTTGGACTTGATCCCTCCTGGGAAGTGAATAATGCTGGGCCCTCATAATTACCCTTAGGAAGTTCCGTCCAACAGTGCAACCCAGTCCAACCTCATGTGATAAACAATTCCATCCCTGGCCCAATATTGGCCACTGCAGGGAATACAGGCATGAATAAGGTAGTGGACACTGTCCTTTTTTGGGCCACAAGGCAAAGAAGTGTTTCTCAAAGCATGAGCCCATGATTAGCTGCATCAGAATCACTCAGACTTATTAAAAATGGACATTCCTGAACTCTGTTCCTAAAGATTCTGATTCAATGATTCTACAGTGGCTCCCTGAAATTTGCATTTTTAATTTTTAAAATTTTGAGACATTTACATAGTTTCAAAGCTAAAACTATGAGAAGTCTAACTTCCATCCTTGTCCACTCCTCCCTGTTCTCTTTTTGCTATAGGTAACCATTTTAGTTACTTTTTTGACTTATCTTTCCATTGTTTCTTTGGAAAATATATGTAAAAATTATTGGTAGAACACAAATACAAATACAGACACACATTAAAGTCTGGGAACCAGGCTCTAAAATCAGACATAATTTTTACCGAATATGTGACAATTACTTAAATTCTCAGATTCTTCCTTGGCAAAATGGAGTTATTTCATAAAATTAATACAAATTAGTATTCAGCAAATGGAAACTATTATTATTACTATCACTATTCGTTAATTAGCTAAACAAATCTCTAATGAATACTCATGAGTCAGGAACTATTCTGTCATTGCAAATTAAGCAATGTACAAAAAAAAGTTCCTGCTCTTTAAGGAATTTAAATTCTAAGATGGAGTGAGAAAAACAATATATATATAACAGCATTAGGTGGCAATCCATAAGAAAGGTAGAAAGGTGGCTGAGTAAGAGAAAAGCACATTGGTGGATGTGGCATTCTTTTCTATATGATGTCTAGGGAAGGTCTTGCAGATTTATGTAACATCTCAGCAGAGACCTAAATGAATGAGGTATGAGCCATGTAGTATCTAGGGAAAAAGAGTACCAGGCAGAGGAACAACAAGTGCGAAACCTGTGAGGTAGGTACTTGATTCGTGTGTTCATGGAACAAGGTAGACCGTGTGACTAGTAACAGAAAAAAGCAAAGAGTAAAAGCACCAAGAGATAAAGTCAGGGAAGCAGCCAGAGGCCTGATCATGTCAGAGGTAGCCAGCCACGGGAAGGACTTTGGAAGTTATTCTAGTTATCACGGGAAGCTAATGGAGAGTCTTGAGCTGGGGAGAGGTGTGATTAGATTAAGTTTTCACACTTTTCACACACACACAAAAAGAATTGCCCTACCTCTGTGTGGATAAAAAACTTAAAATGGCATAATGACAAACGCACATTGATCAGCCAAAAGACCACTACAGTAATACAGGTGAGAGAAAGGTGCCTTCATCAAGAGTAGAAATAGCGGAGATGGGGAGAAGTGACTAGATTCTAGATTTACTCTAGAAACGGAGCTGATGGATTGGATGTGTTGTCAGAGAGTAAGAGAAGCCTAGAATGATTCCAAGGCTTTTGGCCTTAGCCAAATGGGAGAATAGAAATGCTATTTGCTGAGATGTGGGATAAAGGGCTTAAGCATGTTTTGGGAGAGTGGTCTCATGAACTGTTCTGGCCACATGCTATTAGACATCCAAATGAAGATGCTGAAAGGAAAGGTGGATTCTACAACTCTGGAGTTTAGGGAGCAGTCATCCTCATCAGTATCCTCCTCACTCCCATTTCCCAAAAGATTATGGTGTCTCTGAGACATCTTCCAGGTCAAATATTGTCTGACATTGCATGATCTGGCTCTTGGAGGTTCCCAAATGAACTTCAGGTAAAAGGGGTAATAAACAGAAATAGCATGAAAATAAAGTAGTTTTGAGGCAGGAGGTAGTAAAGGGCCTCTTGTAGCCCAATGCCTATCACAGCATCCTAGGAGGCAATAGGCATTTCTCTTGTTTGATGGAAGATCAAGGCAGTCCAAAAGGTACCTACATTTCAAAACTGTCTTTCTGAAAAGCACAGGTACAGGGAATCTTTGATGTGACAAAGTGGAATTGGTAAGAGGCTGAGCTATGTATGTACTACTCGTCCCATAGTGTATCAGAGTCAAAGATTCTGACAAGCTAAGTGTGGTAAGCAGCTGCATCAATCCATTTCAGAAGCATGTGTCCTAGACTGAGTTGGGTACTCCTCCTCTATGTTCTCATAACAGGCAGCATACAACTCTAGTATCACTTATCTTATATAATCTATTCATATGTCTTTGTCCCCCATCACGTGTCCTAGGAGCACAGACATCACTTCTTAATCATCCTTTTATTCCCATCCCTAGCAGAGAGACTGGCCCATGTAGGCACTTAATACATATAAAGACTTAAGGGGATAAGTCCCTTTGTGCAGTGTCAAGTCTTTCATTTTTCAAATTTCTTTTTCTCCCCTCTATTTTTAGTTTTTACTGAGAGCATTTCATGACAGAAAATAGAGGTTTCTTGAGATATCTGGAGGAAGCAGGATTCTCTCCTTACTTAACCCTAAGGACAAGGAGAGCCTACCCTGGAGATGTGATTTTAAAGAAGCTCAGGCTGCTAACGGCAAGAGAGGTACATACTAACATGAAGACCTGTACTGAAATCACCCTCCTGAGGAGGCCATGAAGAAATCTGTGAAACTGCCTGGGTGGCACCATCCACAGATGATGCGGAAGATGACAGCCACCACCAAGATTCCACCAGGCCCATCCATCATGGGTACTTAGCTCAGTATAAGATCTGATTAAGGGTTCTGAGCCATCTTTTTATGGCCCTTGATTTCTAGTACTTAGATATTAACAGGAAAGACTGAAACCATTTGTTTGGTTTATCAGACACAACCACTCATACATACGAGCATACTGCTCATAGTTAAGAATAGAGGTTTAGACTCCTGAAACCAATTGCATCCCAGAGTGTACAAGAAATGCCTGACGCTGCTTTCTGCACTAGCCAATCCCAAAAAGATTATGCACGTTTTTATGGTTTAGATTCCATCACAACTTGAAATGATGCTCTTACACCTAGGGTTAGATAACTGGACACTTTGAATATAAGGCAATCAACCACTTAGCTAGATTGAATTTAGAGTAACATCGTGAATTATCTATAGTAATAAGAAGTGAACGACGAGTGATCACTAATAGAAAAAAAGGCATATCGTGTTGTCTTAACCAAAACGCTGTTGTCGTTCATTTAGAAAACAACACAGTCATCTGGACAAGTTCAAGCCCCTGGCAGGCTGAGAACTTCTCACTGCTTGTCCCTCCAAACTAAAGACTTCTTGTGAATCCAAATGAGCCAAAGCTGAGCACAACTAATAAAGCTCAACCTCCAACTCAGCACCGAGAGCAAAGGCAGGTGGGACGTCCCTAAAATGCCCGGGACCCTGGGGAGATCCCACCGTCCCCCTCCAAGTCTACGATGCTTTGCCCTCCCTCAATCCAGACCCCTTTCGGAAAGCGTCCGACCAGACAGAAGCCACAGATCCAGACGCCCATCCACTTTCCTAGGCTCGTGAAAGGTCCGGGACGCTCCCGTGCTGACGAGGTCTCGGCCCCTCGGCTCACCCCAAGCAGCCAGGCAGTCGATCTGTAGAGGCAGCTTTTCTAGGATCGGCACCGGCTCGAAGGCGTCGTGCATGGCGGCCAGCAGAGTTACCGCGGCAGCCTAACCCGGAATGTGCCGGGCCGTGTTTAGGTCCGGAACCAGGCCAGAGAAAAGCCGAACGGGATCCGGACTGGAACCCCAGTTACAGAACCTCGGACAACACCGCCGTCACCAAACGCCGGACTTCCGGCTGGGCTAAGTCCGCCCCTTCCGCAGTCGGAGTCCCGCCCCTTCCGCGGGACTCCAGGGGCCGGCAACACCGCGGACCTGGAGAACATCGGTGACGACCAGTCAGACGTTGGCGTTAACGAGCGAGAAGGATCTTAATCTCAGAACTGTTTAGGTTGCAAGGCGAGCGAGTGAATCGTGCTTTGCCATCAGTTAGACCTGGAGTGGTCTGCTATTTAGGACGTCAGATGTGACGTTTAAACAATTTAATCTGCAGAGGCCTCAGGTTACGTACCTAGCACTCCATAAATAGTGTTAATTCACCCATTATAATCCCAACCAGTTCAAGCATGTTATCCTTTTTAAACGTTGTCTAGACTAGTGATATTCACTGTGGTCTCTAGACCAGCAGCAGCAGCAGCAGCAGCATCTGGAAACTTGCTAGAAATACAAACTCTCAGACCTCATTTCCCACACTACTCAATCAGAAGACTGGAATGCTGGGGGGTGGGGGGTGTCAAGGTGAGTCCGTGCACTTTGAGAACTGCTGGAAGAACATCAACATTCGGCAGTTTCTCCCCAAGAAAACACCATTTAAACCTTTACATTTAAAGCAAAAATATAAAAGAAAAAAAGGGGTGAGTCTATCTATGATAAAATAAATTCAAAAACTGTCAATTAGGAATATTGTCCTATTTTTACCAAATGCTGTTTTTGATAATCAAATGAAATATTTTGCAGTAGTAGGAACATAAAAACTGCTAAAATGAATATTGCGTTAAGGCCCACTTTCACCAAAGAAACTGAACACCTTGAAAATTTAGTACTACTGGCTTCTGTACTAGAAGGCTTAAATACCTAGCAGTTCCAGGCCCACGGCCCAAGACAAAATAAACAATTTATCTTTTCAGGTACAAATTAATGTAATACTATAAATTCCTTTTGAACCTGTTCTAGGAAATGATATGCTATATACCATTAGAGCAACATAAGCCATAAGAGAGCAGAATGATCAGATTCCAGGCTAAAGAATTTGTACCATATAATCCTGTTTAAAATAGGAAGTTTTTTTTCCTAGTTTCATGTCAATATCTAATTAGCCTTAAACAATATTTGACCAGCTATCCTGCTGCATTATAACTATTATTCACTTGGTGAGTTTTAGTACGGGAAGAACAAAAGCATACACACAACTGTAACATTAGCCTTTTGCTAATGGGCTAACCTGAGAATATAGTCAGGTCTTCATATTGTTCCTTAGGTAATGTTTTTAATCACCACAGGAAACAGTTATAGAGAAATGTTACATAGATGTAAAATACTTTCACTATAGTATGAGTGAACTGGTTATGTGGTCATTGGTTTCAAAAGACAAAGTGATACAGAATAAAAATCATGGAAGGAAAATTCTCACAAGAGAGTTTGGGAGAAAGGTCATTAGAAAGTCTGAAAAAAATGAAAATATACTAATTTTGTTAAAATTTTTTTATATTAAAAAGTGGCATGAAATTCTATGTACAACAAAAATCTTGGGAAGGCAAATTGGACAAAACCATTAAAAACACATAGAGTTTCAAATGAATCCCATCACCTTGTGATGTCTCTTATAAACAGTCGTTAAACCAACACCAGCTACAAGAACAGTCACTTTTTAATAGAATGAGCAGCAATCCAGGGCCTCCATACTTCATGTAGGAAAAACTGTTTAAATTAAGCCAGAAGAATCTATTTGCTTTGTTAGCTACTGCTTCTGAAGCACTACAGTTCCTTTAGCAGTGTGCTCTCTCACAAGCACTATGATGGGAGTGCCTCTCTGCATCTGGTGCCCAGTGAATGGCATGAGGCAGAAACAAAGCATTGCCTAGGACTCTGAAATACCACCCTCAGAGGCTTACAAAACAGTAGTTAAAAGTTCTGGAGAGGGCACCACATTGCCAGCAATGGGATGTGTCACAATAGCAGATGTCAAGAGTTAGGCTAGTATCTCTCTCTAAAGTACATCTGAAATAGAAAAATCTTTAATATACACCATTTGTAAACAAAATTGCACTTGATTTTTTTTTAATGATCTAAATCATACTGTAACAATTTCTCTCCTTTTTTTTTTTTGTTCTTTTAATCACTTATAGAACCATGGCTTCTTAACTCAGGACTTTTTTTTCCCCCTCAAAACTACCTCGACAAGATGTAACCATGGCTTACCAGGAAATGGAAAGATAATTAGCAATTTCCCCCATTACCTATGTAACTCCCTAAATAAATAAAATTGAACAGGCATAAAAAAATAAAAAAAAATTGAACAGGCAGTTGCTCCTGGAGATTACATATTATGGTGTTGATGTCACAGTTCTTTAGAAGATGTTAAACTTTTTAGTTTGACACATTAAACAATTTAAACATTATAGAAGGTTCAGGAACAACACACGTTAAGTTGGATAACATCCATGGCAAGGTATGGGAGGGAAAGGGGCATCAATGTTGATACGAAACTTGTAGATTTTTCTTGTCCTATGAACTTGTTGTCAGTAAGATGATCTCCTTGTTCTGACACCTCTCACCAGCTCCAATGCACAAAGATCAAGGAACAGATCAGGATGTCATTGTCTCCTTTAATCCCATGGAGCAATATAGAAGACTGACACAGAAGCTGATCACTTCCAGAAACTAGCTATCTTCAGCTACACATCTTCCCACTCTTTACTCCATCTTAGACCTTTCAAAGTGTGTGATCATTCGTTCCTACAGAAAAAAAATTTTTTTTTCTTAGTAATTTCAAATGGTTTATATTTCAAATATCTTCTCCAAAAATGACGAACACATGTATTTTTCACAAGTGCTTACTTATGTTCGTTTAGTATTTACAGTGATGGTTCCTAACCATTTATGAAGATTTTGAAACACAGATTTTCAGGACCCATCTAAGAGCAAATGAATCAAGATTACTAGGCTCTGGACATCAAAATCAAAAGGAACTGTGTATCTGAGAGTCAATTAAGGTGACTAAGCAAATACTTAAGATTAAACTTTAATGAAAATGTATACCTCCTCGAATTCAAGGACTTCCCCTGAAGAAAACTGTCAAGGACGTGGGAAAAGATTTAACCCCAAGTATTTCTTCTACAACACTCAGAACTGTAACTATGTACTAGAAAGAATTAAGTGTCCAAAATACACAACTATATAAACAAACTATGGTATGTTATTATAATGAAATATTACATACTTTTGAAATTACATTTGATGAAAATGTTCTAGAGATCTGTTATAAAACAACGTGCATACAGTTAACATTTTGTACTTGAGAGCAGTTAGGATGGTAGATTTTAAAATTTTTAAAAAGACCATGTAAAAATTACATTTGATTGTAAAATAGTATTTATGTGATTTAAGAAAATAAATGCATTACCATTAGATTTCCTGTCTTAGACAATTTTTTTTACCTTAACAGTTTTTCATTTTTCCTCTGCTTCATTTGCTAAGTACCTATCACACATTTATCCCAAACTCCAAGAGATTGTAAATCTCTTTTCAATTATATCCAATAATCTATCCTTTCTACTTTTTTTTCTTAAATATACCCTTTCCCTACCCCAGAAGCTCTCTGTTCTCCTGCTCCATTCTGGACTGGTTGCTCCCCAAGCCTGTTGTCCAGCTGTCACACTGGGCATTTCTTATATCTTTATCCTGGGGATTTATCCTTGCTTTTTTGTGTTAGATCCTTTATTTCCTAAATCCCAAGTCTTTCTCTTTCTAGTTCCCTCATTTCATGAAGAATGCTTTCTAAGACTTTGAGACAGCATATTTAGGTGTCAATTATTTCACTTCTTGTGTGACTGAAAACATCTTTAATCTCATATTGGTAGTTTAGTTAAGTATACAGCTTCAGGGTGAAAATAATTCTCTTCAGAACTCAAAGACTTTTTTTATCTTCTAGTTTCCAAAGTTGCTGCTGAACAGTCTGATATCATTTTGATTCCTGGTCCTTTATTTGTTTCTCTTGAAACTCAAGTTCTTATTCAGTTCTTGAATAGGCTTTTCAGGATACAGATGGGTGAAGTCAGTGCTACCAAAAGTACTAATAGTAAACCTGTATTCTCATGAATGACACAACTGGGTTTCACATATGCAGCCCCGACTGGCTGAAATGTAAGAATGGCTAGAGAGCTGAAGCCAAAGGGAAGCCCTGGAAGCAAACTATTAGCAGAAGACCCCAAAACAGAGATCTGAGAACTGCAGAAAACATCACAGAAAGCAAACTGCTACACAGGTTTAATTCTGAATGGTAGAGTTCTCTATTTTAATGCACAGAACAGCTAAGGAATGTGACACTGTGCTGCATCACACAGCAGGTCAGGAGGAAATGAACCATATTTTAGCAGCCAATCCAACACAGTGAGTCAGAATTGGGTGGATGCTTTCAAAAAGTTTTCTGAAATCAAGAGACTCTAGAATAACCTAATATTGAGAACACATCCAGAACTAATTCCCATGAACTGAGACTGCAATTCACTGTGAAGCCTTCTAGATGAACCATATGGAGGTATATTAAAAGATTAGATATCAACATAAACATTAGAGGTATAAATTTAATCCTTATTATCTGAAGAAGATAGTGGCACAGGTAACACTGAATAGTAAGTAACTTAAAATAATTTATATTTTGTTTGGGTCTGCTATATTCCTTTCTCAATGCTCTTCTTTATTATTTTTGCCTAGATAAGGTAAGGGTTAAATTTGAATTTCTTAGAAACAAAAGAACTAGACAGTGGGAGAGTATGGTATTTGTTACATAGTTTAAACAAAGACATTCTTGGTCTGACCAAGTAACTTTGGAAAAGAAAAAAGGGACATGTACAGAAAACCATTCTTGAATACTTGAATTCTAATATTAGTATTTCTATTCTCATCTATTTCCAACTACACCAACTATAGTTTCCCAGTCCATTACTGAGTCTTATAAATAAAATATACCTGAACAAAGAAAGGACTTGTGACTCCCTATTATGTCAAGAAA